CCCGGTTTAGTCCAGGTTTAGTCCTTCTTTAATCCTGGTTTAGTTCTTCTTTAATCCTGGTTTAGTCCTTCTTTATTCCCGGTTTAGTCCAGGTTTAGTTCTTCTTTAATCCTGGTTTAGTTCTTCTTTAATCCTGGTTTAGTCCTTCTTTATTCCCGGTTTAGTCCAGGTTTAGTTCTTCTTTAATCCTGGTTTAGTTCTTCTTTAATCCTGGTTTAGTCCTTCTTTAGACCTGGTTCAGTCCTTCTTCAGTCCTGGTTTAGTCCTGGTTTAGTTCTTCTTCAGTTCTGGTTTAGTTAGACCAACATCTGGAGATGGTCCCACTGCTCCTGAGGTTTAAAACGGATGTCCTGCAGTCAGGTCATGTCCTGCAGTCTGGTCATGTCCTGCAGTCAGGTCATGTCTGTGTGTGTCCCTCAGGTCGTGTCCTGAGGTCAGGTCATGTCTGTGTGTGTCCCTCAGGTCGTGTCCTGCAGTCAGGTCATGTCTGTGTGTGTCCCTCAGGTCGTGTCCTGCAGTCAGGTCATGTCTGTGTGTGTCCCTCAGGTCGTGTCCTGCAGTCAGGTCATGTCTGTGTGTGTCCCTCAGGTCGTGTCCTGCAGTCAGGTCATGTCTGTGTGTGTCCCTCAGGTCGTGTAGAACTGGTTTTAGACCTGGTTCAGACCTGGTTCAGACCTGGACCTTTCAGACCTGGTTCAGAGACCAGACCTGGTTCAGACCTGGTTCAGAGTTTAGTCCTGGTTCAGACCTGGTTCAGACCTGGTTCAGACCTGGTTCAGACCTGGTTCAGACCTGGTTTAGTCCTGGTTCAGACCTGGTTTTCCTGGTTCAGACCTGGTTCAGACCTGGACCTTTCACCTGGACCTGGTTCAGACCTGGTTCAGTCCTGGTTCAGACCTGGTTCAGACCTGGTTCAGACTGGTTCAGACCTGGGTTCAGACCTGGTTCAGACCTGGTTCAGACCTGGTTCAGACCTGGTTCTCGTCCTCAGGTGTGGTGTTCTTGTACCGACCCGGGGGCAGATATTCTCTGATGTTCTCGGAGGCTCAGGAGGCGTGTCTCAGAGCCGGAGCTCGGATCGCAACCGGACCAGAACTTTACGCCGCCTTCAAGACCGGACTGCACCAGTGCGACGCCGGCTGGGTCCAGGACCAGACCGTCAGGTACAAAGGGACTGGACCAGGACTGGACCGGGACTAGACCAGGACTAGACCAGGACTAGACCAGGACTAGAGCAGGACTGGACCAGGACTGAATGAAAAAATAATTATTGACTAATAGACTAAAACTCCAGACTGATCCAGACCAGGACTAGACCTGTACTGATCCAGACCTGGTCCAAACCCAGTCTAAACCAGTCTAACCCCGCTCTAACTTGCTCTAAATTTAGTCTAATCTGGTTTTACCCGACCTAAACCCGGTGTATATCCATTTTAACGCAGTCTAACTCCACTCTAATTCGGTCTAAACCTGGTCTAACCTCAGTCTAACCTCGGTCTAAACCTGGTCTAAATCTGGTCTAACCCTGGTCTAAATCTGGTCTAACCCCGGTCTAAACCCGGTCTAAACCTGGTCTAAACCCGGTTTAAAACCAGTCTAAACCCGGTCTGACCCGGTGTGTGCTGCAGGTACCCGGTGGTGTTCCCCAGAGCGGCCTGTGGGGGCGATGTTCCTGGAGTCCGGACTTACGGCCTGAGACCAGCGGACGAGACCTGGGACGTGTACTGCTACAGCCACACCAGCAGGGGTCAGTGTGCGGGCTGAGGGGCGGGGCCAAAGGGGGCGGGGCCACAGGAAAATGAGTTGAGCTTAAATCTTAAACTTAAAACTTAGATCTTATTCTCCAAACTGTTCTCCTGAGATGTTTCTCCAGGTTCCAGTCGTTTCTTTTCTCTGAAGTTTATTTGGACTGATTCATGTTTGAGGAAACTTTAGTCTGTTATTTTCAAGACGCCGTTTGTCGTCAAAACCACAAGAACAAGAAAGTGCAGCTCAGTCTGTTTGTCTTCTGCTCCTCTACATTAACAAACGGGGTTTTGTTTTGTCGTGGCTCCACGTACAAAATGTTCTCTGTAAACTCAGGATGATTTCTTAGTCAGACAAATGTTTCCTTTTTGGTTCTTCCTGTGGATCAATCCTGCCCATCACCTTCACCTTTCACTATTTTTCAATTCTGTTGGGAAGAGAAACAGTTTGAACGGAGGTTTGAGTCACACACATCTGATTCACTTTTGCATTTATGAAGTTCACAAACACATTTCTGGAGTCGTTTTCCGCTGTTTGGATCCAACAACCACAACAATTACGACGTCCGAATCCCAAAACTAAAATATGACAATATCAGAACCAGAAACAAAAGTGAAATGGTTCAAAAGACTTGGAAGGTTTAGGTTTGATATTCACTTTTTTGGAAAATCCTTCCCAGTATGAACTGTACGATGACCGGAAGTCTGAAATTCAGGATGCATGAATTCTCCAGCTTCTGCACAACAAATATCATCAGAACCACTGCGGGAAAAGTTTGGATGGTGTTTGTGACGGTGGAGGAATCACAAACCCAGATGACAGAAAAGACCACAGTTTTAGACCTTATAGAGTCCTGGTTTAGTCCTGGTTTAGTCCTGGTTTAGTCCTGGTTTAGTCCTGGTTTAGTCCTATTTAGACCTGGTTTAGTCCTGATTTAGACCTGGTTTAGACCTGGTTTAGATCAGAACCTCCCCCCAGACGCTCACACACATTAATTAAAAAAAACATTTCACCAGTTTAACACCAAAGAGCAAGAAAACATGATTATTATCATTATTATTATTATTGAGCTCCTCCACTTGAGGCAGGGACTCTCCACCCACCTGGAGAGGGCAAGACGCCTTTTTCCGGTCGAGAACCACAACCTCAGATTTGGAGGAGCTGATCTTCATCCCAGCAGCTTCACACTCGGCTGCAAACCGCCCCAGTGCTGCAGGTCCTGGTTCGATGAAGCCAACAGGACAACATCATCTGCGAACAGCAGAGATGATCCTGTGGTCCCCAAACTGGACCCCCTCCGGCCCCTGACTGCCCCAGAAACTCTGTCCATAAACACAATGAACAGAACTGGTGACACGGAGTCCAACATGCACCGGGAACAGGTCTGACTTACTGCCGGCAACGAACACAGCTCCTGCTCCGGTCATACAGGGACCGGACAGCCCTTAGCAAAGGGCCCCGGACCCCAGACTCCCAGAGCACCCCCCACAGGACACCACGAGGGACACGGTCGAATGCCTTCTCCAAGTCCACAAAGCACATGTGGACTGGTTGGGCAAACTCCCATGAACCTCGAGCACCGATGGAGAGTGTAGAGCTGGTCCAGTGTTCCAAGACCAGGACGAAAACCACACTGCTCTCCTCCTGGATCCGAGGTTCGACTATCGACTATCGGCCGGATTCTCCTCTCCAGTCCCTGGCATAGACCGGGAAGGCTGAGGAGTATGATCCCCCTATAGTTGGAACACACCCTCCGGTCCCCCTTCTTATACAGAGGGACCACCACCCCGGTTTGCCAGTCCAGAGGTTCTGTCCCCGACCGCCACGCGATGTTGAAGAGGCGTGTCAGCCAAGACCCACAACATCCAGAGACTTAAGGTACTCAGGACGGATCTCATCCAACCCCGGAGCCTTGCCACCAAGGAGCTTTAACCACCTCAGTGACTTCAGCCAGGGTGATGGATGAGTCCGCCTCCGAGTCCCCAGCCTCGGCCTCCTCCTCGGAGGACGTGACGGTGGGATTGAGGTGCAGCGTCTGCAGTGATGCGGTCGCTGTATCGGTCGTTGTGGTGAAGAGGAGCTGAGTCTAAAGGTGAAGCTCTCGATTTACCGTCAGTCTTCGTTCCTACTCTCACCTCTGGTCATGAGCTCTGGGTAATGACCGAAAGGACGAGATCGCAGATACAAGCGCTCGAAATGAGTTTCCTCTGCAGGGTGTCTGGGCGTCTCCCTTAGAGACAGAGTGAGGAGCTCAGTCACACGGGAGGAGCTCGGAGTAGAGCCGCTGCTCCTCCTCGTGGAGAGGAGCGTCTGAGGGGAGGACGTCTGTTCTGATGTCTCCTGGACGTGTCCCTCAGGAGGTGTTCATGTCCCACCGGGAGGAGGCCCCGGGGAAGACCCAGGACACACTGGAGGGACGATGTCTCTCGGCTGGCCTGGGAACGTCTCGGGGTTCCCCCAGAGGAGCTGGAGGAAGTGTCTGGGGTGAAGGAAGTCTGGGAGTCCCTGTTTAGACTGATGCCCCCGAGACCCGACCCCGGATAACTGGAAGAAAATGGATGGATTATTATTATTATTATTAACATGAGGAGATTTTCATTCATATTTAACTCTGGTCTGGTTGTGTTGTAGGTGAAGTGTTCCCTCTAGCGACCTCTGCTGGTTGGTCGTACTCGGAGGCGTCGGAGGCGTGCGCCGCTCGGGGGGCGGAGCTATCGTCCGTGGCCGACCTGTACGTGGCGTGGAGGCGGGGCTTGGACTGGTGCAGAGCGGGCTGGCTGTCCGACGGGTCCGTGCGTTATCCAATCAGCCGTCCCCGGGCGCAGTGCGGGGGCGGAGCTACGGGAGTACACGCCGTTTACATCAACGACGACCAGAGCGGAAACCCCAGTCACAGTACACGCTTCGACGCCTTCTGTACCCGAGGTACTACTACTACTACTACTACTACTACTACTACTACTACTACTACTACTACTACTACTACTACTACTACTACTACTACTACTACTACTACTACTACTACTACTATTACAGTACATCCTGTTTTTACTTTTGTGTTTCAGTGAAGTCGTCCAGTGAGACAGAGTACGTCACCACCACAGATACTTCAGATACTTTTACTACAAATACTACAGATACTTCATATACTCCTACTGCGCCCCCTGCTGTGGTGGAGGTGGAGGAGGCTGTGAACATGACGAGCTCCACGCACCTGTCCAGACCAGGTGAGACGCACGACCGACGGTTCTACTCCTGTTCGCCCTTGAGCAAGACACTGAAATGATCACAGTAACAACATGATGATGAGGAGATGATGATGATGATGATGATGATGATGATGATGATGATGATGAGATGAGGATGATGATGATTCTGATGATGATGATTGATGATGATGATGAGGAGGAGGATGATGATGATGATGATGATGAGGAGGATGATGATGAGGATGATGATGATGATGATGATGATGATGATGATGATGATGATGAGGATGATGAGGATGATGATGATGAGGAGGATGATGATGAGGAGGAGGATGATGATGATGATGATGATGATGATGATGATGATGATGAGAGGAGGAGGATGATGATGATGATGATGATGATGATGAGGATGATGATGATGATGATGAGGAGGATGATGATGATGATGATGATGATGATGATGATGATGATGATGATGATGATGATGATGATGATGATGATGATGATGATGAGGAGGAGGAGGATGATGATGATGATGATGATGATGAGGAGGAGGATGATGATGATGATGAGGAGGATGATGATGATGATGATGATGATGATGATGATGATGATGATGATGATGATGATGATGAAGGAGGAGGATGAGGATGATGAGGATGATGATGATGATGATGAGGAGGAGATGATGATGATGATGATGATGATGATGATGATGATGATGATGATGATGATGATGATGATGATGATGATGATGATGATGAGGAGGAGGATGATGATGATGATGATGATGATGATGAGATGATGATGAGGATGATGATGAGGATGATGATGAGATGATGATGATGATGATGATGATGATGAGGATGATGATGATGATGATGATGATGATGATGATGATGATGATGATGATGATGATGATGATGATGATTCTGAGTTTGGGTTTTGTTCCGCCGCAGCTCCGTCCCCGATCCCGGCCCCGGACCACCTGGAGACCTCAGGATCAGGTTCTGGGTCTGGACTTGAATCCGGGTCAGGTCCAGTCCCCGGGTCTGGTCTTGGGTCCGGCTCTGGTGTGGACCTGGTTTTCTCGGGCTCAGAGTCTGTCCTGGTCCAGTCCGGGTCTGGTTCTGGTTCTGGGGGTCCACAGGAGGCTGGAGGAGAGGGGAGCGCCACACTGATCCTGCCCGGCCCCGAGGCTCCGTTCTCTGGGGAGAGCAGCGGCGGTGAGGGCCTCTCTGGCTCTGGAGCGGCTGGAGACGTCAGTGGAGGTCAGAGTTTAAACCACTTCAGGCCTTTTCATATTTCACAAGAACTTTGTTCTCACCTCCAGAGCCGAACAAAACGACGTCTAAATGTTGTTGGTCCAGTTCCTGTGGTTCTGTTCTTGTTCTTGTTCTAGACGCCTCCGTTAGTTCTGCAGGTCTGTTCTGTTGTTGTTTATGTGTTTGTGGTTTCTCTGTTTCCTCGTCGTTTTTGAGAGACACTGGAGGAAATGATGAGAAAACACAAACATGTGAAAGACACAACGACGATAAAGAGACAAACAAAGAAACTCATGGAGGGAGATCAACGACATTTTTGACTCAGACCAAAATCAGAGTAGAAAAGTCTGGAGTTTTTACAAGACAAGAGAAAGACAAAAGGGTCACCAAAAAAAAAGCATCAGGCTGGAGAGAAAAACCCTGGATGGGGGGGCAGAACATCTTTTGAAATCTGAAATGTCAGAGCCCAAAAGAACTTTGTTCTTGTCCTTCTCACCTCAAGAACAAGAACAAAGTTCTTCTGTTCTTGTGAACATGAACCGGCCTTTAGGGTTAAAAACAAAATCCTTCTGTGAGTCCAGTAAAAGATAAAAATATGAATTCTGTCTTTCTCCTCTAGGGTTCAGTGGCCTCTCCTCTGGTTCAGGGGAAAGTGGACTTGGGTCTGGTCTCGGGTCTGGACTTGGGTCTGGTCTCGGGTCTGGACTTGGGTCTGGTCTCGGGTCTGGACTTGGGTCTGGTCTCGGGTCTGGTGTCGGTGGATCCTGGTCTGGTTCTGGTTCTGGTTCTTCTGGGGGTGTGAGCTTTGTGGATGGAGACCTGCTGGACTTTACTGTTTACTCTGGATCCACAGAGGAACTTGGTGGAGACCTTCTGATCTTTTCAGGATCTGGACTTCCCTCAGGGTCTGGTCTTGGGTCTAGTCTCGGGTCCGGTCTCAGGTCTGGATCCAGACTTGAGCGTATCTTGTTTGGGGAGTCTGGGTCAGGTTCTGGTTCTGGAGGTCTCTCTGGTCTCTCAGAGGTCGTCACCTTCACGTCAGGTGAGTGAAACGTTTTGGAGCAGTTCTGTTTCTGTTTTAAAGCTGCACCATGTCACTTTTCCATCTCTAAGGGGGTGATGTTGCTTTGCCCGGAATTTTCCACAATAGGGCATTAAACAGATCTGTATATAGACCAGGTTACAGGTCAGATCTGTGGAGAGGCGACGCCGCTAACATTAAGAATCAATGTTTTCAAAGGATTTCTTCAGCAATAAAAACACCTCAAATGAAATCA